TGAGTCAAAATAAACTTTTCCTCCTTTAATTTTGTGTGTCTGCTATTTTGTCTCAGCAGAGAGAAAAGTAGCTGACACTCATAGAAATGATAATTTAAGGAGGTAAAAGTGCTAATTGCCTTGACTCAGTCATTACACATTGTATATGTGTACAGCATTATAAGACTGTATGCCATAAATACAAATATTACATATCAATTAAAAACAATTTTTTTAAAAAAGCACATAATGAAAACATAAATTGAGGGGCTGGGGAGATGGCTCAGTGGAATAAGTGCTTCCTTGGCAAGTGCAAGGGTCTGAGTTTAACCCCCAGTTCCAAAAAAAAAAAAAGAAAGAAAGAAAGAAAACATAAATTGAGTTCTCTGGCTATGTCCAAAAGACTGTAAAAACAAAGTGAATTTTTCAAAAAACTGAGCTCACAGACTTAGGTAGAAAGAGATAGAAATACTTTTAATCATCTTCTGAAAACAAAAAAAGTACTTAGTAAAGAGATGAAAATTTCATGTATCACATTTCTGGGCCATAATGCAATAAAATCAGAAATAACAGAAATAGGCCTTTGCAGATACAGAGGTCTATTTGTATATCCCACAGTCCTGGCCTCCAAAGCTGTGATAAATCTCTGTTGTGTATAAGTCATGAGTCTGTGGGCTTCTGTTATGGCAGCTGGAACGGAAGAGCCCCCAAGAAGAAAGTATGATCCATCCCACGTGAGGACTTGGAGCTCAGGACTGACTCTGACAGAGCCCAGAACCTGCGGCTTTGCTTCGCATCTCCAGCTGGCCTGACTGGTGTCCAGTCAGGGATGAACACAGACTGAACATGGCAGCTGCGCAGGCCAAGTCAGCCATGGAAATGTGCAAATATTACACATGGAGGCCTTTGCAGGTACAAATATTACATATCAATTAACAAATTTTTGAAAAGCACATAATGAAAACATAAATTGAGGGGCTGCGGAGATGACTCAGTGGAATAAGCTTTTCCCTGGCAAGCATAAGGGTCAACTATCTTTCAATTCTATTTCTTTTATTTCTGATTTTATTGCATTATGGCCCAGAAATGTGATATATGAAA